TCCCGGCTCCGCGTCTGGCGCTCGGGCGGCGCATCCGGGTATTTAGCGGCGGCGGGCGGACCGCGGTGAGGACAGGGCTGCTGGCTGCCTGCTCCCGGCCCGGAATGGCGCCGCGCCGCCGCCATCTGTGTTTCTTCCGCCGAGCAAATCCGACCTTTCCCCCCGGCCCGGGCCTTCCTGCTCCCCGCCGCCGCCCGGGGCCGCTGCCCGGCTCCCTGGGCTCCCCCGCTGGGCGTCCTGCCGGCTCGAGGGCTGCCCCCCGCGCCCGCCACGCGCCCCAAACGGCGCCGAGGACCGCCGGTGGCCCGGCACATTTCCCCTTTGCGGGGGGCTGGCTCTGCGGGGTCGGGGAGCCTCGGTGCGGGGAAACCCCCGTAGCAAAGCTCCCTCTTGGGGCTACCCGGCATCCCGCTCCCGGTCCGCTGCGGAGCCCCCCAGGCCCGGGGAGCGGCCGGAAAGCGGCCCCAACTAACACACGCAGCCCCGAGCCGGGCGACTCCCAGCCGGGCCGAGCCGGGACAGGGGGGAGGGGTCGCTCCCCCGGGGTCCGGTCACCTCTCGGGGGTCATCCCGCCACTGGGACCCCCTCACCTCTACCCCCTCTCTGCCCTTGGGACCCCCAGGCAAACTTTCCCTGGAAGAGTTGGGAGGGCACTTTCAAACTTTGTCCCTTCCCCCTCCTCTGTCGTTTTCCCCCTGCGCGCCCCCTGACCTCTGCAACGAGGTTCTCTCTTGAAGCCGAGCCCCCCCATGCTTTCTGGGTCCCCTGAGGGATGAGGAGAGGGGTCTGCTGAGTCACCGCGTCTCCTCAAAGACCCCCACATCTCCCATATATAGTAACCGGGAATTCATTTATATGCCGCCCTCAAACTAGGAGTTTTGGGGTGTCAGAGGGTGAGCCCGCGGCTCCCACCTGAGACCCCGAAAAGGGGGGGGGTCTAGTCCTCTTCATGAGGCTGCTTGAAGACTGTGGCGGGTTGGGGGGTGGGGTGGGGAGCGATCCACAATGGAGGAGCTGTCCCAAAGGCTCTAACCAGACTCTTCTGGGGGCTCCTGGGACAAGGAGAGGCCCTGAGCGCTTTGGGATCTCGGGAAAACGGGGCTCTGGGAGAAGAGGTCGCGGGAGGTAGTTGCGTTTCTTGGGTCCTGTCTAGTCCTGGAAAAGTGTGCAGTTCAGGGAGCCGGGGCCGGGACCACCGCCATTTTGCTGGGAGAATGCAGTGTCTTTGTTAAAATGTGTACATCTTCTCCCGTGCTGTTTGGCAGGTACAGGTGGGACGGACGAGGGGCGCCACCGTTTGTAGGGGCTCCTGGGTCTCTGAGAGGCTCTAGGAGCCCAGAGGCCAGCAGAGGGGATCCCAGAGTTCCTGGGACCCCCATGTCTGTCATTTACCTACTAGTCGCGTGCAGGTGGCCGCTCGCCGCTGGGCAGCGGCCCTGGGTTAAGAGTCTGGGATGTTCCCTTCCTGAACCCCTTAAAAACAAACCCGTTTTTATTCCCTAAGCAAGGAGGCAGTCACTCTTCATTTAAACAATACCCTGGGGGTGGGGGGTTGTTTATAGCCGATCCAAAAGATGAAGGCGGCTCCGGTTTAGTCCGGAGTTATTAGCTGTTGGGGAGGGGGCGAGGATAGAGTTGGGAAGTTAAAATGGGCGGTGGGGGTTGTAAGTGCCGGGTATGTGGGGGGGAGGGCTCCCACTGGACTTGGGAGGCTTTGCATTAGGGCAAATTAATGGGCTTCCCCTCCACACCAAGGGATGGATTAATCCAAATGATTGCGGGGTGGGGGGGGGGGGCAGACTGTGCTTCTCCTTGGGCTTATCTGGGTAGCACAGGCAGGAAGGGAAGCGATGAAGGGCCAGGTTAGCTCAGGAGGTCATCTGATGATGCCGGTAACCCCGAAGTTTCCTGATTTGAAAACAACATTCTGGTGGGCTTGTTTTGGTTCTTTTCAAAGACAGTTCTGGTTCCCACTAAGAGCTTAATGGGGAAACAGGCATCCAAATAGCCACCCCCACGTCCACCCTTGGCTCCTAAAGACGTCATCTCCGCCCCCCCGCCGCCCCACCCCCCAGGTCTATGTGTCTTAGAATAAAGACTGGATGAATTCAATGGCAGGATGATGAAATAATTATATTTACACAGTGCATTAGTTTGCAAAGTGTTCACCAGTTTTGATCCCGCGTGTCTCGAGCCAGGGGAGGCAAGCAACACGATGGGCCCCCATCACCTCTATTTTACCGTGGAGGTCGCGGGGCTCCCGAAGGTTGGGTATGGGGCACCCAGCGAGCGCGCCATCCCCAGCTCACACTTCACTTTGTTCCCTCTACATTCCGTATCCCCGCCCCTCCCAGCACCCCGCTAAATTCCCTCCGGGAACTGAACCCAGTGAAGGGTGGGCGTGGGTACCTAGGGGTCCTGCAGCCGAACGCCAGTTTTCCCGCCCCGCGACAGCACTCAACGCCCCTCCCCTCGTTCGGGGGGGACTTGGAGGCGAAGGGAAGAGACCCAGAGGGGCTCCCCAGGAATTGGGCGCAGAGGCTGAGGCCGAGGGGACAAAACGAGAAAAGGCTGCTTCCAGACTGGCCTCGCCTCGCCTCGCCTCGCCTCGCTTCACTCACACTGCAAGGTCTGGGGGCTTCTAGACTCCGCCGAACCAGCCCCACACCCTGGCGGATCCCTCGGGTCCCCACTGCGCTCCCAGCCGTTTTCTGGCCGGCGGACGCGGGACTCCCCCTGCCCCTTTAACACGAGCCCTTTAAAAGCCCGGATCCGCGGGGCTGCGGGCAACTCCTCCTGGGAAATGTAGTCCGGCGCGCCCAGTGGACACTGCAACGGGCACGGGACCCTCGGCAGCCTGGGCACTCGGGGCCCAGCCGTGTCCTCCCTGCTGTGGTTTTTTGTTGGTTTTTCACTTGTTAAAAAAGACCTCAGTGTTTTCACCTGCCAAGAGAAGTTCTCCCTGCCGTTGGGGGTGAATATGAAGGTGAAATTAAATCCTGTATGGAAATTGGCAGTCACATTTAAATGCCAGGGGTCCTATTGGGTTTGCTTTTAACTGGTGTTGGGAGGTGATGCGTGTATGCCACCATTTATCTGCCCTTAAAACAGAAAGACTCCTTCATCAGACAGGTCCAGAATGACTAAGGGCCTTGTCCAAGGTGAGTTTGCCTGGCCAGGGTGACTGGCGGTCAGACTCCCAGGGAGGATTTCCCCCCTGCACCACCCGTTCGTTCGTTGTCTTGTGAGACCTTGAAAGACAAGGCTCAAAGCAGAAGTCTTTGCTTTGTCAGCCTAAGGTATTCTCAGCATGTGCCTGGCTCTGGAATGGGTACTGATAATCTGTAGTGAACAGGAGACCAGAGATGCCTGCCCTCCTGGGGCTGACATTCTAGTGGAGAAGAGAAATGAGTAAAGAAAGACATCAGTTACAGAGAATGTTGGAAATCCATCGTTGCAAAGACAGATTGAACACCAGCATGGGGAAGGTAGTGGTTAGTTCTGAAAGCAGGTGGCTTGCAGTTTTAACTAAGGTGGTCAGAAAAGGCTTTATGAAGAAGCTAACATCTGAGCGAAAATGCAAAGGTGAGAGAGGGGGCTTTTCTTACTCTTGGAGGAAGAAATCTTCCAAGCGGAGTAGTGCGTGCAAAGGCCCTGTGGCGGTAGACAAGATGGCCCAATCAAAGACAGTTGAAGGTCAGCTTTTAAAAAGTAATGGGGGAGTAAAAGGAGGTAGAGATCATGGAGGGTTTGTGGGCCATGCTACGGTCTTTGACTTTTACTCTGATTAAGATGAAGCCATCAGGGCGTTTTGAGCAGAGGGCCATGGTAGGGCCCATTGTCGGCACCTACCATAGTTGGCTCTGGCGACTGGGTGGAGAAGCCGTAAGGCCAAGAACAGAAAGAAACAGGGTTAGGAGGCGGAGATAATCCAGGAGAGAGCCAAAGGTAGTGAAGAGCTGGGAGGTGGTGAGGTGCCAGATGTATCAATATGTTAAAGCTGGGACCCCCCGGGTGGGGTGGGGTGAGAGCAGCAAAGGAGGACCCCAGGGACTTCGGTCTGCAGGATGGAGGGTGGGGCTGTCTTTATCTGCAGTAGGAAAACACAGCAGAGCAGGTTTGGGAGTCCTGGTCAGGCCAGGTTTGCAGTGCGTCCCAGACCTGAGAGTGGAGATGATAAGAATCGTGTTTGTCTGGAATTCAGGGAGCTCGGAGCCTTGGGCACACATCTGGGATCTCTCCACAGAGAGCTGGAATTTAAAGCTGTGACCTGGATTTGACCAGAGGGAGTGAGAGACAGGAAGAGGACAAAGGCTGGACCAGGTGACTGGCATGAGGAGGCAGAGAAGAGGGAGATGCTGACTCAGACACAGCAGCCAAGGGGTTTGGCGGGGGCTGGCATTCAGGGGAAGGGATCTTCAGGGTCAGCGAGGAAGCGATGAGAGAAAGCAGTCTGTCAAAGGCCACTGGCCAGGGCAGCAAAGCCCATCCTCAGTGTGCTTGTGGACTGTGGACAGCGGTTGCCCGAGGCTGGAAAGTGACAACGTGAAACCAGAGAATGTCCAAGGGCGCTTGGGACTCATGGTCGGGGCTCTGGGGTCATAGGTTCAGCCCCCAGCTTTTTATTTATTTATTTATTTATTTATTTATTTATTTATTTA